AGGTCAGGTCAGGTATCATGCTGTGCAACGCGGGACTGACACATCATTTTGAGAAGTGAGCTCAACACATCTCCCAACAGCTTCCGCATGCCACTTAAGCATCTTCTCTGCAACGTCAATGCTCAATAAACCGTCTTCTTCCCGCACGTTATCTTCTGAGCTCTTGTCCTGTATTCTTTCTGAGCTTATCCCTCCATACCGCATGATCAGCGCTGCAGCCTGTGCAGATGTGCTTGAACCACCAGATGTCGTAGTATTTGCGGCAGCAGCTCCGAGCCTGTCCACCATCCGATCAAACATCGAGGATTTTACTTTCTGCATTCTCATCTGCATTACAATAGGAATCACGTTCTGCGGCAAAAATATTTAACGTGCTTACATGATATCGAGTATAATTCGCAAGCAGTCCCGCATAAAGCTCGCCAAGACTCTTGCTCTCTCTGTCAAGATATTTCTGGCCCTCGATATATGGTACAAACAGTTCTGCCATCGCGTTTTCTAGCATGGCGCTCACAACAGACGTTGTCGACGTTCCAGAAACTGTCAGTGCACCGGAGAGAACCCTACGAAACTCTGATATCTCCAGAGATGATTTGCTGGGTGTGATGGATGGGAGCTCATGAGCTTTCAGGTCTTCGACGAGGTTGGATGTCTGGTTATGCACCAATTGTAGGATCCGTAGGTAAGCCAAATCAGAAAGAGAAGAGCCCTTTGTCAAGAGCTGCTCCATGTATTGTTGGATCTGCAGAAAATCAGACACTGTCGTTATCATATAAAGATCCGTTGCCTCACAGACTGAGCAAAAACACGCTGCAGGAAAACTTGCATGACAAATGGTGGGTTTGGAAATACTGCCTGGACTATCTGTGATTCCTGGGCGACAGTTGCTCGTATTTCTCCGAACAACTCTGTGAGGCCTGATTCTGTTTTGGGTGGGCTTTCGTCCGGTTTGGAAACATTATTCCACCTTGCGTGAAATAGTAAGAGGACGCATTCTGTAGGCAACGGAGAACGTACAACAGGTCGTCACTGTGGTTTGCAGTGTCACGAACCTTATTCATGAAGAAATCATGTTGGTTGACATAGATTTGAACGCAAGATGCACCACCATTGAAATCTAATAATGTCTGTGCGCAATGCTTAACGAAATATCAGATATGTCATAACATATTGAAAATAAAGAAACACACATGCATCAACTTTGGGTCTCCCTTTCGGTAGCATCGGTCAAAGAGGTATATCATGTCTTTCTCGAACTTCTCGCAGTATTTGTCAATGTTCTCTCGGGTCTAAATGTCTGTTATGCCACTAGATGGAGGAAAAGAACAGTAAACAATACCTTGTCTGCACTGGGGAGATCCACCTCTCGGGCCACAGTTGTGAGTCGGCGCAATATAATGGCAACTTGACTTCGACCTTCTCGACCTTCTTTCTTCAAAGCATCCAAACGTGAAGTATCACCGCGCGAAAATTGGTTGTAGTAATTGATGAGGTCATGGGCAGCCTGGGCTCTCTGGCGTTCAATGTGAATGGATTCCAGTTGTTCACCTGACGCTGACAGTTAACGAGAGTATTGAAAATGTTAATGCAAGCTACCTATTCGGACCGCAGTGCGTCCAACTTCGTTCATCTTGCTTTCCATTGTCGAAAAAGATGATCCAACGGCCTGAGCATGGGTAGTCAACTGGGACATCCTACACTGCACATAGAAACGTACCTCGAATCCTCGGTTCAGGTCTGCCATCTTCTTTGAGTACTCCCTTTCTGCCACTCGGACACTCTTTTCCATCTGTTCCGTCTTAGCCTGGACATCCTTGCGCACACTGATCAACTTGTCTACGACTGCTTCAAATGTTCGTATAAATGGCTTGGGATCGAATGCTAGACAAAGCGCAAAGTGAGACAATATTACGAAGGGAGCACACACACGCGTACGCCCAGAGCTTGCCTTTGATTGCGTGATTAATCTCTCAGATATAGATCCAACAAATTCTTTAACATCGAATTTGCCCTACTCAACATTGAACATCAGCCCAACTGCATGTAGTGTAAACAATGCGATGCACCTCAAAATTGTTGAGACGCAGTTGTTCCTCGGTAGCCGAGTCAAGGTCGCCGAAATGCTGCATGTTGCAACCTGTATCAGGGCGATGATTAGCCGACGGGTAGCAGAACCTGTTTACTATTGTTGAAAGCTAAAGCTCCTGCCCAAATTTAGTAGTTCAATCTTTTCAAAGTCATTGGCATCGCGTCCCTCGCCTTAGGCTTTGCTGGCTTTTTCCGTGTCCCGAGCAATGGCTTCTCATCCACTGAAATCACTGCTCCAGTTGCAATTAGCCTCGGATTCTTCTTCAGTTTTACACCTGTCATCTGTGTTGTCAACTTTATCAGAGGACATCTTGTCCCCTTCCCCTCATCTTCAGAAATGGACATCCCGGGTGACTGCCTTGATTCATTCAAAAGATGCTGGAGCTCGGTGGGCTGGCATATGCATTGCATATCGTACTTCATCGCTATCAAAGTCTACGATGACAGAGTTTGCGCAGAGCTGGGCAGGACTCGCGCTGTCCATCCTTACAGTTAGTTTGTGAGATGCACCCATTCTGATGCTCAGATATCTAATATGTCACCCAAGAAACCAGAACCTCTGCCACTGCTTAAGGCGTCGATAAGATATCTTCGGCATGTCCTCAGTGCAGCAACCGACGTGCCAGAGCTTCAAAGGCAACTAGCCACTCCTACCGTTCCAAAATTTAGCCAGGCGCTGGTATCTATCGTCGAAAGGGCTGCAGATTACGAGCTAAAAGTTCGTGTTTGGCTTTTATAAAACTAACAGGGGTCTGAAAGCAAGATGTCAGGCACTAGCGACGGACACATTGAAGGATATGGTCGTTCTGTATCCTTCATTGAATAGAGCCTTAAGTTCCTCTATCACAAATGTGTGTCATCAAATACTCAATGGATCTGCACCGCAACACACGAATAAATTGCTGCTTCACAAAGCGGCGAGCCTGTACGCCGTTCTTCATTATACCGGGGGCAAGGTTGGGGCCGCAAATCTGTGGAAGAAATCTGTAGATGAGACCCTTCAGTGTCTCTGGACTGCGTCGATGGGTCTTAGAACAACATTTCCAGGCAAGGCCCTGGTATCTGACCTATCAACCTCCTATTGATATCTCATACAGTGAAGAACAACCCCTCACCCTCCAATGGACTAACATGCGATGATCCAGTGCTAGCTGTCGCCCTCAATCTTGATAGATTACAATGCTGCGCTACTGCGCTTTGCAGTTTACTAAGGTCAATTCATTGAACGGGATGGTACAATATACTTACACAAGTGCAGGACGACAGTTCAAAGACCAGTCCATGTGCCTATAGGACGTATAATGGAGTTCTGTCTATTCCTGCTAGCTTGTACCGCTGAAGAAGAGGTATTTTTTTGTATTTCTTCTGCCGACACTTTTTCAACCCAATGCTAGAAAGAAGGCCACGTTGACGCAACAGTCAGAGCCTTGGAACTTGCTATTGTGCCTGAGCTGCAGAGTTCTGCATGTGATCTGCTCTGTTGCCTGGCAAAGACGTGGGTAACAACACAATTTTATTCTATCTCTCAAGTGACGGCTCGATCTAGCGTTCAGCATCGACTGACACCGTACGTGTCCCGACTAGTCGTTATGATAACATACCATCTCGAACAAAACCCTCTACCGTGCGTCGCTGAAACTTTAACCCTGAAGGATTGACCTATGTATGTCTTAGAGAGCGGCGATGTTCATTGCTCCAGTGCATCCAAGCTTTACTGAGCAATAGCTTCCCTATCAGCGGCGAGCTTAGTTCCACGAGGCTCGTCAAAGGCGTCATGCTTTCTCTCATGCCGCTGCTGTCAACACAGTCTGATGCACATACAGGCGAAATGAGTTCTGGACAGAGCAAAAAAGGCAGGAAACGTAGACGAGATTACGAAGGCGACGAAGTTTTTAGACTATCAAAAGATGTCATTTGTTCATCGATCGCCGAGGGAAAGGTTATTCTTTGTGCTCTAGATGGTGAGTTCAGGTCAAGATCAGCCAACTGATCGCTAATCATCCTCTAGCTCTGCAAGTTGCAATGCGAGGCCCTGAGTTGCAATCCGCCATCCGCTCTCTGGCCTGCCGTGTCATGTTATCCTTGTCACTATCATTGACAGCTATGTCGCGCTCCTCTTTATCCCAAGACGTTCATCTGCACAGTTTAGTACTTGCAAAAGTGAACGGAATGTGTCTAGAGCTTGCTCGAGGGACGACAAGTGCGATGAGCAGAAGCCTTGGCTTGGTCCTCAGATCAACTGTAACGGAAGGCAATGAACATGTAGGCAGTGTTTATCTTATTTTGTTTTCCTAACATGACGACCTGTTTGCTTGTAGACTATGCAGATAAAACTGCAATTACAACAAGAAGCTGACCTTCTTCTCCATCCTCGCGGTCCACCACTAGTCCGCCCGCTGCCTCATGTGGAAGCACTATCTCTATTTCGCGCGGAGGAAAACAACGAAGAGCTTGCTGCTCGTAGATCACTTGCCTTGGCTACAACATATGATGCAAATATCATGGATGTCGGGGCAGATCTCAACGCAGTGACCCCGACACCCGAACCAACCCCTCAGCCCGTACCGACGCATTTACCCATACCAACACCAAAAATCACAGCTCCTGGACCAATCTTGATATTATCTCCAGTGCCAACCAGTCAGAAAATGACATCTTCGATCACTACAGCATCAACAAAAGATTCTGCCGACATCCCTTCAGCGATATCAGGTCAACAACCAACAAAATCTCTGCTACCGCCATCTTCTACTCAGATGGAACTTACTCCTCCTACGGTTGAGCCTCGGATCATCCCAGTGATGATGAACGATGACGATGAAGAGGAAGAGGAAGAGGAAGGAATACCGATTATTGATATGGAGTCGGATTCAGATGGTTGATAGTGCGATACAAGTGGGGTACGGCCTTGCATTCACTTGTGAGCCGTTGAACGAGTACATTCAAAATTTTCTTCTCCTTCGCTTTGGTTGCGATGGCTGAAAACCTTTGGTGTGAGTCTCATCTTCAGAATGATGGCTTGCGAAAGAGAGTAATCCTGGTCCTTGAGAAATGGAATGCAGCTGACGAAGGTGAGCTCTCAGGTTGGACAGAATCACGACACCTTACCTTATGCAAAAATTCGCTTACGACAATGTTATTGGGATCCAATACCTTTGCGTGTTCAAGATAGGTCTGAGCGCGACTGAGAGAGTTGTTATCATAAGTAGATCCCTCGACTTCATTGGCACCTGGAGCAAGGGCCTAAGACCGATATGCCAGAATAGTCGACACTTCAAACACTGACCAGCTGATTCTGGAGGCTGGGCTATGAAAATACACAGCAAGCCTGCATAGATGTGAAGTACTGGATTGTCACGATAAGGGAATGAAGGGAGGTAACTGCTACAATCAGATCATGGTTTTCTCGATGGAGAAAGGAACATACAACTCAAGCTCATCGAGTGCATCTCTGTACCTGCCAGCAAGAATGTAATGCTGAACCAATTCAGCAAGAATGCGTTCTCGCTTGGAAGTATTTAACTTCGTCGCGATTGTAAGGACAGCAAAATGGAACATACCTCCTCGGGAAGTTGGAGTAACATTGTCCGTAAAAAATCTATCTTGTGTGGATTGCTCTCCACGACGCGGACATCATTTTCGAGTAAGGTGATGCCCAACCTCCACATTGCTTTCCAATTTAATTCTTTGCATCTGGCTAGGATGGACCAAGCACGTCTGGCACGGGGAAAGTCGTCTCGCTGTACGCCGAGATTCACGATATCATAGAGGCGCTGCAGCTGTATTTGACGCGCATTGGGCATTATCTTTTTATTCGGAAAATCGAACAGGAACTGATGGTCGTTGTTGTAAGCCCTTTCAAAGACGAAAGCAGGAGGCTCTGGCTCAAAGTTGGAAGTCATGACAAGGAGCAAGCCTAATTTACTTCCAGCGTCACGTTAATTAGTGCATCATGATTTTCAAAGACCTTCTAGTCACGATAACAACATCCACCCGGCGTTATACCGACTAAACTAGTTCGAGGCCAAATTCATCGATCGCTGAACAGCACAAGTCATAACTGAAAGCAGATTCAAGCGAATAATGGACGAAGATTTCATGTTTGGAGCTTCAGTCTGGGGTAGTACTACTCTGACACCCGATGACCCAATTGCAACACGCCTCGCAAATATTACATCTTTCTCTTCACCTGAATCACCTGTGCCGCCATCTCCTGCGCCCTCTCAAGACCGACTAGACGATTACGATGACTTTCATACGCCCCCACAAACGCAGAACCCATCTATTGCACAGGAAGATGATTTTGGTGACTTTGGGGATTTCGGAGAAGCAGGGGACCTGGAAGGCGGCAAGGGTTTCGGACACGATGCAGATTTTGGACAGGATGGAGATTTTGGAGATTTCTCAGAGGATGATACGTTTCATGAAGAGCCAATACCGGGTCCATCTCATACTACCTGGGAGCCGCTCAGATTAACCCCCTTACCTTCCGGAGAAGATCTAAAGGGACAGATCAACCGCATCTTGGATCCTGTATGGATTTGGGATATCTCCTCGCTGACAACAGATGAAGACATCAGACAGGCAGAGGGTGTCAGCCAAATATTGGTCACACCTGAAAGGTTCGTTGTCCCTGAAACATCTCCCTTCAAATACTAAAGCTCTAGGTAATAAAGTCGTGGATTATATACCATGCTTCTGGATTCGCCGCCCCACATGGAGCCCATCAACTGGACACGCTCACGCATTCGACAGCAACATTTAATCGCTCTTGGACTGCCCGTGAACTTAGATGAAATACTACCGCACGCAAGCGGCAAGCCCCTTCCCCCACTACATATATCAACAAGACCGATGTCTGCACCCCCAGGACCTCGCAATGGTCCACTGCAGAGTACTCCATCGTCTAGAACCAATTCTCGTGCAGGGACGCCTCGGATGGGCACTCCACAGCCGTCTACGCGGGTAGGACCGACCGTATCACAGCTTGGTATTGGACCCAAACCCCAACTAGATGATAAGAAAGTAGAGGAACTACTCAAACTTGATACCGGTGTGTTTGTTTCCTCTAGCCGTGATCTGAACAATCATATATGATGCCAAGCAGATCAATTAACCCTCTTACCCTTGGCAAAACTTGAACGGTGTCTAATAGATCTCCGGACAGAGACAACCAATACCTCATCTTTACTTACACACCTTCTACAAACTCGCGATGCTCTCCAGCAGGACTCGGAGACATACAACAAATTGATCGCAGAACTAGTAAGTGAGGCGCAGAAGAATAGTGGCCAGAGTCGGACAGGTATCAAGCGTAGCGGTACTATGCGTTAATACATTCATCACAGTTTCATATTCTTCCGTCAAGAGTCATATAGATACTTCATTCAGGTCTTCACATTCAAAGCACCATGAACGATATTATGACATGATTGTTCCTACATGTACAATCACGTGACTCGCTCAAATTAGAAGGGAGAAAAAACTTGGTCGATGTCGATCGCGTCTCGTACTAAGCTTTCGTCGCATTTACCAGCTTGGAAAAGAATGTGCTAGCTTTATATGATATTCTCCCCGAGAGTAGAAGCACAACAGTGAACATTCACCATCGCGTCCGCCATGAACATATCACATTCCATACCGTCTACCGTCTCAAGCATCTCTTTTTCATTCCTGACAGCGGAAGACATCCGGAGGATATCAGTCAAGCAGATTTTGAACCCAGTATTGTTGGATGACTTGAACAGGCCGAACATCGGTGGCCTGTATGATCCTGCGCTTGGCCCCAGCGATCGTCAAGACATGTGAGTGCCTAGCTCTTGGTAGTCTTGAGACAGGTGCGCTGACGCTATACCTCCAGCTGTGCAACATGTCACTTAACCTACTTCACGTGCCCAGGCCACTTTGGTCACATTGAACTGCCTGCCCCTGTGTACCACCCTCTGTTCATGGTAAACATGTACAACATTCTCCGCGCAACCTGTCTGTTTTGTCATAGATTCAAACTGAGTCGATCAGTGGTACGCACATACCCCTCTGCTTATTCTCCTTGCCTGAAGCGCTCCTCGCTAGATCTGCAAATATGTCGCCAAATTCCGCCTCTTGGAACATGGTCTCCTGGAAGCTGCTCTCGACGTGGACAGTATCACCTTACACACGTCCAATGACGACGATGAAGATAGTCGCAACGAGACTATCCCTGAATTAGAACATCGCGTTAACTTATTTGTTATGGTGCATCTCAGCAAGGCCTCCGGCAGCAAGCGAGATCACTACAAGGACACTCTTGTCTATCAGGCCCGGAAAGATCTCATCCAAGAGTTTTTGAGGACAACTATCACCAAAAAATGTAGCAATGAAGGTTGCGGCGCGTGAGTTTGCTATTTTCGCTGTATGTTGGATTTTGGCTTAGCAAGATAACAGCTTCGCCTACACGTTCCGCAAGGAGGGATTCACTAAAATAATCGAATATGATCTCTCCGTAAAGCAAAAAAACCAGCATCGAGCTATTAGCCTTAAAAGGCCAGATGTCCTCTTGTTCCAGCAGCAAGCTGCAGATGCTTCAAAATCTCACTCCGAACCTTCGAATACTATGGACGTAGACTCGGAGTCTGATTCCGAACCCGAGGGGGAGCCGACATACTCAGACGAGGAAGAGGAACTCCAAGCTACCCGTCCCTCGAAAGAAACCGGTCTTCCTCGTGCTGCAAATGGTAAAGTCAAGACCGCCCGCGGCCGCAATGAGCGTGTTATGGCACCAGAAGAATGCCGTGCTCATTTGCGTCTTCTGTTCCATAATTGCCCTGAGATCTGTTCTCTCATCTTTGGCCGACATGGGCCCTTCTCTCCCCTAAATGCTGCAGGTCTGTCTCTGGCATCTGCCGACATGTTCTTCATGGAAGTGATCCCTGTTCCACCAACGCGTTTTCGCCCACCTGCTACAATGGGTGAAACGTTGTTCGAGCATCCCCAGAATGAGCTTTTGGCCAAGATTCTGAATACGTCGTATAGGCTACGTGATTTAAACGCAGACCTCCATGCCGCTTCATTGAAGCAATCAGGTGTTGACGACACGACGCGGCGTCGTTTATTTAGTGCTTTACTCGAGGGACTCGTTCAGTTGCAAGCCGACGTCAATAGCTTCATGGACAGCAACAAAAATCCTACGCCCGTCCGCAACGGTAAACTCCCCCCAGCTGGTGTCAAGCAGGGGCTCGAAAAGAAGGAGGGTCTCTTTCGCAAACATATGATGGTACGGAATAGTTTTTTTCTGAGTGTATCTTATCTAATTTTCTTGGCAGGGTAAACGTGTCAACTATGCAGCGCGGTCTGTCATCTCACCAGATGTAAATATCGAGCCAAGCGAAATTGGCATCCCTCCTGTTTTTGCGAGGAAACTTACCTTTCCTGAGCCTGTGACTCCTGCAAATTTCCACGAATTGCGGCAATGGGTAATTACTGGTCCGAAGGGTTATCCAGGAGCGACGATGGTTGAGTATGAAGATGGGCATAAACAGTCTTTGGTAATTTTTTATGTCACGCTATTTCCGCAGTTCTGACTTGATTCGCTAGGAAAAACTCTCACCTGAGCAAAGAACGGCCATCGCCAACCAGCTGTTGACACCTCAAGATGGCAGCGACAGCTCGTCAGGTCGTCGCGGACTCGCAACGCGCACAGCTTCGATCAACAAGAAGGTGTATCGGCATCTTCGGGATGGCGACATTCTGATCCTCAATCGTCAACCAACTCTTCACAAGCCAAGCATGATGTGCCATAAGGCCCGTATTTTACGAGGCGAAAAGACCATAAGGATGCATTATGCGAACTGGTAAGTTTCCAATTGCTAGTGTAGGTTCATTGGTTAATCTTCTTTATCCTTAGTAACTCTTATAATGGTATGCATTCCAAATTCAAGCCGCATAACTGTACCTAATTGTAACTACTCTCAGCTGACTTCGATGGTGACGGTGAGCATTTGGTTTGGAGTTCCGACGTTAACGAAAAACTAAGCCGCTTGTTGGGTAGAAATGAACATCCATTTTCCTCGTGAGCTTCTTCGAAGTATAATCCATATCATGTTTTCAATCCCCTTGAAGAAAACCAGGTTGCACGTGCGGAGGCGATGTTAATTGCCAATACTGAGAATCAGTATTTAGTCCCGACTTCTGGTAAACCCTTACGCGGCCTCATCCAGGACCACGTTGTTGCTGGGGTCTGGATGACCTGTCAAGACGCCTTTTTTTCCCGCGAGGAGTACTTCCAACTACTATACGGAGCACTCCGTCCTGAGGATGAGAGTTATCATCTATCACGGCTGATCACTCTACCTCCAACTATATGGAAGCCACGTCCGCTTTGGACAGGAAAACAGGTCGTAAGTAACAGTGCTTTGTTCGCCCGCTCAGCCCCTAATCGCATTAGGCAGATCTCGACGGTCCTGAAAAACATTACGCCGAGCAACGCGGAGGGGCTGAACCTTGATTCCAAAGCCAAAGTTCCCGGCCATCTATGGGGCAAACATTCCTTAGAAGACAAGGTTGTTTTTGTTGACGGCGAACTTCTCTGTGGTGTCCTTGACAAATCCGCGTTCGGAGCCACGGATTATGGCCTTGTGCACTCGGTGTACGAGCTGTATGGAGCTGATGTCGCTGGGAAGCTTCTCGGCGTTCTCAGCCGGCTATTCACAAAGTTTCTACAACATCGGGCGTTCACGTGTCGCATGGACGATCTGGCATTAACACCCGATGGAGACCAGAGAAGAACTGAACTCCTCCAACATGGCCGTGATCTTGGGTTCGACGGTGCCGTCGAAAATTTTCCTTCGTTGAGCAAACTACCCAAGGAGGAAGTTCCAGCAGCATTGACGACATTGCTCGAAGATGTCTTACGAGACGACAGCAAAATGGCTGGTCTCGATGTTACCGTCAAGACTAAGCTTTCGGGCCTAACCAAATCCATCGCCGACGCTTGTATGCCTCACGGTCTTCTGCG